AGAAGCAGCGCCCCGGAGCGCACTGCCACCGGCACGGTGCTCTGTGCGGCGCCCCGGGGGTCGCCCGGCGCCGCCGCCGCCTTGGCACAGTCGGGCTCGTCCTCAGCCCTCCCGGGCTCGCCCTCAGCCCTCCGGGGCTGCTGCCGCCTCCCCGGGCCGGCCCTGCCTCGCACCCCGCCTGGCCGGGCTCCAGGAGGGCCGGGCCCGCGGGGGCTCGGGCGGTGCGGTGACCCCTCACAGCCCCGCGCACCTCCCGGGCCCGGCGGAGTGCATCCGCCCGTACCTGAGGCATCTTCGGCGCAGCACACGCATGCAAATCGTAGCCACGAGCAATTAAATACATACGTACCGTTAATTACGTGTTTACATACACCAAGCACGTCCCTGACAGGCAGCAGGACGGGGCCCAGGGACGGCTCCTGGCACCTCCCGGGCGCTGCCAGGACAGGGAGGGATGCGGGGCACATCTGTGCCCTGCCTCAGGTGGCATCTGAGGGACGCCCAGCATTTCCGCGACACCTGAGAGTGGCAGGTTTAGCGCTGTCACAGGAGGGGGGTTTTAATCCCGACCTCCCTTCGCCTTCCCTGGCAGTGGGGAGATGAGAACAGGCTTACAGCGCTTTATTATTTATTTTCCCCCAGCTCTGGTCAATCCTCTTTGCTCAGGCCTGGATCCCTGCTGAGCATCCCTGGGCGGCACGGGAGCGGGAAGAGGCGGCCGAGGCTGCAGCGTGCAGGGCTAAATTTGGCCCCTGTGACTTCCTCCCGTGTGGGACACCCGGGTGGTTTTTCTTGTCTCCTGTTACAGATAACGCAAAGGCCGGTCCTGAAGCCGCAGCTGGAGGGACAGTGGGGACAGAGCAGGGACCAGGGGGTCGCAGCCCGCTGGCTCAGCCGTGGCTTTGTTGGCTCGGTGCTGGGCAGGGCACCTGGCTCCTGCAGCGCTGCTCCTCAGCCCTCCCCAGGCTGTTCTTCACCTTCCCAGAGCGTTGCAAAACAGTCGCTGTTCTGTTCCGAGAGATGCCTGCGGTTCTTTCACGCCTCTCAAGCTTTTTTTCCTTGATACTCCAGCGCCAGAGTCAAGTGGTTATGTCAAAATGTGTTTGCATTTGAAACAAAAAAGAGTTTCTCAGCCCTGTGACCCCAGAGGGAAGTTTGTGACTACGTGTGGCCCAGCCTGCTTGGGAGCACCTGCAGCTCCAAGGGTCCGTCTGCCTCAGGGAGTGTGGAGCTGCTTGGTTTTGACCCCCCCATCTGCACCACAGTAAAGTTCCGCGCTGATACACAGCGCTGGAAATTGTAAAATATTGCAGAAGCTCCTAACTGAGAAAAACACCAAAAAAAAAAAAAAAAAAAAAAAAAAAAAAAAGGAGCCAAGGGGGTTTGCCAGTGCAGCGCTCCACCAGATGGTCTCTGCTCATCCCAGAGGTTTTCCCAGCCGTGGTGTGGATGGATCACCCGCACTGCACCCCGAGCCCTGCCCTGCTCCCAGCCGCAGGAACCCCTCGTTCGGGGACAGGGGACACCACTGCCGCCCCTGGTTCTTTCCCTCCCGGCCGCTCGGTTATTTTTGTTAACGCTTATTAAGGAAGACTTGGGAGAGCTCTTTGTTAAGGGCTCACACTCACTTCAATTAAAGGCTAAGAAAACTACCCAAGCGTATCACTGACTCATCGGAGAAATCCCGACCAGCACGTAGCCGCCTAAACCCTGCTCTTGTTTTCACAGCTACAGCTCCGACAGGGGACACGGGAACAAAACCTGCAAGACTCGCAGCTGAGCCAGACGAGGGGGAAACGGAGCTGGAACCCGCTTCCCTGTCGGCAGGGCCGGGCCGGGCCGTGCCAGCCCCTCCTGGAGCCCGGCACATCCCGCAGCCCCGGGCCGAGCGTCCCCCGGGGGAAGGACTCGCAGCAGCTCTGCTTAGAAAGGGCAAGTCGGTGCCAAACCTGACGAACTTTCCTTTACCCAGAATTATAACTGGAAGTCTAAAAAGCCGCAGTGTTTGAAAACACGTATTTACATTATATATGCCCCAAAGCAGAATAAACAAAGGTTAGATTTGTAAACTCTCCGTCTTAATTAAAGCAGCGCTGCTTAGGACAAACCCACATAACAGGCGGCTTGAAGTGTTGTGTTATTTAATTTATACCTTCCAGCTCCCTTAGTCATGGAGCTGGGACAGCGATAGCATCAGCAGCCACCCCGCTGTGCAGGCACAGGGAATTTCTAGGGCACTGGGAGCCGTGTGGCCCATTTACCACCCTCCCGAGGCTGCGCTTTCTGCCTTTCCAAACTCAAATCTTCCCTCCTTCTTCTCCCTTGGCACTTCCCACACTGGTAGGAATGCTGCTGGGTGTCTCCTGCCTCCGGTGCTGGTGGTGGAAGTCCGCAGGGACAGGCCAGCACCGGGGCTGTCCCTCGGTGCCGCAGCCCGGTGCCAGCACCAGGCACCCCCGGCTCCTGCCGGCAGCCCCTGCTCGGTTCTGCTGGGCCAGCGTGTGTTCGCACCGCTTACAGCGGAAACTGTGGGCAAATATTTCAGCTTTGCAGGAGCCCCTTTCTGTTCGTGCTCTGAGTGCCACCGCGGGCTTTGAATTTCGCAGCTCTGTGGGGCTGGAGAGCCCTCGAGAGTGTAAATAAGCTGCGCTGATGGTGCTGAGAATGTGCTCCCCGCAGGCAATTTCCCTTCAGCTGCTTCCCAAGTTCTGTCTTCTCTGGTTTCTCTCTTCGCAGCCTTCCCTCTCCAAGTGATCAGGGACACTAAACAGAGACAGTGAATTCCATCGGCGGGAATCAGGGATGGAAGCAGAGCGTGCCTGCCGGGAGGAACCGTGGGATGGTCCAGCATCCCCAGAAGAGCATCCCAGGCTCTCCCACTGCCCAGCTCCTGCTGGACGAGCATCCCTGACCCGCAGCAAAACGAGGCTGGAAGGTGCTGCAGGGACAGACAACCCGTTTGCTAGGCAGAGGAAATGGGAACAGAAAGGGAAAGAGAAATGGGAACAGAAAGGGAAAGGGAAAATCATTGGGAAAAGAGAAAGGGAAAAGGAGAAGGAGAAGGAGAAGGAGAAGGAGAAGGAGAAGGAGAAGGAGAAGGAGAAGGAGAAGGAGAAGCTCCTGCCGGATGGCTGCCCGCAGTCAGTGCCATCCTGGAGGGTGGCAGCGGTGCCCTGTCCTGCCCGGGCCGTGCCAGGGCCACCGGCAGCCGGCCCCGGGGCTCGGCGGGAGCGCTGCCGCTGCCGAGAGCGCCGGAGCCTGCTCGTAATTAGCGCATCCGAGAGATCGCTTCACTTTCCAAACGAGGGAAAGAGGAGGCAGGAAATCACCAGGCAGCTCGGCTGGAGCACCGAGAGGCAGGACGGCGATCGGCGGGGGAGCAGCGAGGAGCTGCTCCCGGGGAAGGAGCGCTATCCTGGGGCTCGGCAGGGATGGCCCAGTCCCTGTCCCAGTCCCTGTCCCCAGTCCCTGTCCCCAGTCCCTGTCCCCAGTCCCAGTCCCTGTCCCAGTCCCTGCTCCGCTTTGCTGCCTTTAGCCCGAGCTCCGAGGAGGGAGGGGAGCCGGGGCAGGCAGGGGGATGCCCAGGGCAGAGGCGCTGTGGTGCCAGGGCCACACGCTGCTGTGGCACCAGGGACAGCCCCGGCTGGTGCTGGGTACCAGCTCCCACCTCTCTCCCCATGCCAGAGCTCCCCAGCGCCGGGCGATGCTCCCGCCAGGCAGGCAGGAAAAGCCTGGCGGTTACTCCATGCTTGAAGCATTCCTGGTGAAAGCATTCCCATGGCAAACTGCCCTGCACCGGTCCCTCCCTTCCCTGCAGTGCTCCCGAACCCTTTCTCCCCTCTGTCCCGCACAGCCCGGCTGCCACGGCAAACCCTTGCTGCCTCCCCGGGATTTCCCCATCCTCCCTCATCTTTGCCGCCCTGTGAACCCATCGCTGCCTGCTGTCCCTGTCCCCAGGGCTGTCCCTGTTCCCAGGGCTGTCTCTGTCCCCAGGGCTGTCCCCGTCCCCAGGACTGTCCCTGTCCCCGGGGCTGTCCCTGTCCCCAGGGCTGCTCCGTGCTCCGGGGCTCGGGGCTATCCGGGGCCGGGCGGGCGAGGGACAGCAGTCCCGGGCTATCTTTCTCTGTTTCCGTGTTTCTGCGTTTCTCTGTTTCTATGTTTAGCCCTGCGGCCACACGCCGGGAAGTGCCCTTATCTCTGGCCACCTCCTTGTCCTCCGCCGTGCCTGGGCTAATCTCTGCTTGGCACCTTGAGCGCCGCAGCGCCCGGTGGCTTTTTGTTGTTATTTTGGTAATCTCCCTCACTACTTTTTTTAAAATTTTTTTATTTTTAATTTTTTTTTTCCCCCATAAAACAGCCGCTGTTATCTGCGCCCCACGGGGGGAAGAGCCGCCTCTCGGCTGTCACACCGGGCCCGGGGATGCTGCTGGTGTGACCCGCAGGGTCACTGCCCGTGCCCATCTCTGGCACTGCCGCTGTGGGGACACGGTGGGGACACGGTGGGGACACGCCGGGACAGCAGCACACGGGGCTGGGCGCTGGTGTCACACGGTGGGGACTGCCCACACTTAATGTCACACTCTAGGATTGCGGAATGGTTTGGGCTGGAAGGGATATTTAAGGGATACTGAAGGGATACTGAATGGATATTGAGGGATACTGAAGGAATATTGAGGGGATATTGAGGGATATTGAAGGAATATTGAAGGAATATTGAAGGGATATTGAAGACCATCCAGTTGCACTCCCCTGCCGTGGTCCGGGACACCTTCCACTAGAGCAGGCTCTTCCAAGCCCCATCCTTGAGCAATTCCAGGCATGGATGGGGCAGCCACAGCTCTTGTGTGTCCTTGTGATTTACAGGGTGTGCACAGACACGAGGAGATCACAGCTTTTTCTGTCTCATGGGACATTTCAGAGCCCTCCTGGCAGGTGCTATCGACCCCTGCTCACCCCCTGCCCGGGCTGCCCTCGGCACTCTGCCTTTGAACCCGCTGAACTCTGCTGCTCTCCAGGAAAACTGTTTCCCAGTTTGATTTAAAAACTTCCCGAGCCAGAGCCCGCACCAATTACTTAGCAGCGCACTGCTCTGGTTAATCACCAGTGACCATTTTTAGTAATAATTCCTGCGGGGCCAAGGACTGCAGGGAAACATCCGCTCCTGCCTTGCTCCCCTTCCCACCATCTGCCCCGGCTTCTCCCGGGCACGGGATGTACAGCAGCAGGCACGTAAGGTCAGTGCATTTAGGGAAAAACACGAGCACTGAATTAGAGCAGCCCAGCCAGCGAGGAAATCCTAACGCTAATCCCTGATCTTTCACTGACACACGGCAAAGCTCGGCCAAGCCGGCCGCTTCCCCCTCCCCAGCCACAGCTGGAAAACACGGATAATGCTGCATTACCTTCCCTGCAGGGCTGCCGCGATTAACAGCAGCAGAGAGCTCCGAAATCCTCCAGGGATGGGGATGGCAGGGATTAATACTCGGCTAGATGGTCCCCCAGGACCATTTGCCAATGCCGTGCCCCATTTTCTTTATTCTTTGCTATTTACTTTTATTTTTTGCTGGGACCTGGGTGGTGTTTAATCTCATTTGGCAGCTATGGATTGTCTCCAAAATAATCAATATTTGTGCATTCATCTGCATCTTTCAGCTGATCCCACAGGGATGAGCATCCAGCGCTGGCAGGAGCCTCGGGCAGAGCATCCCTGCTCTCACTGGCCAAGGAACCAACTTTGCTCCATCTTTCCAAGGGGAAACAAAACCTTTGGTGGTGGCAGGCAGCTCTGCCTCAAATTAATTTCAGCGCTGTCAGGAAAATATCCTGTGTCACCCTGCAAATCAGGCAGAAAATGATGCTCCCCACGCCTTCCCTCCTGCCTGCGCCCTGTGCACGGTAAAGACACGCACGTGTGAGGATGGAGAATCAACGGATCCAGAGCCTGCGCGGCCGAATTTTTTTCCCCATGTTTCACCTCGTATCAAAAACCACGACAAAAACACAGCCCTGCCTTTTGTCAGCAGGAAAATACCCAGAGTTCAGCGAACTGCCAAGTTTTCCGTGTTCAAATTTCCGCTGGCAGCTGCTCTCCGCAGCATCCCAGGCAGCCAAGCGCCCCGTGGGATGCAGCCAGCCCCAGAGCCCCGGCTCCACGCTGGCAGAGCTTCCCAGCTCGGCATCCTCGTGCTCCGAGCTCCTCAGGATCTGGCACGTCAGCAGCAGCGCAGGGGGCAACCGAGTCACGCGAGAAACGGGCATTTCTTGAAAAAACACAGGACCCGAAGCGTGGGTCGTGGCTGAGTCACTGAAACACGAAACTCACTAAAGGGATGAATTAGAGCAGTTAGAATATAGAGGTAATTACTCATGTGAACAATGCCCTGCTCCACTCTTTAATGATTACACAAATTAGTGCATAAAATTATGTTAATGGCTCTGCAAGCGGCGCATCCACCCAGCCCGCCCGGCGGGAGGGGCCGCAGAGGTGGGGGTGTCCCTCAGCGCCCAGGAGCGCCGGGAGAGGCTGCAGCCCGTCCTGCGGCTCTGCCAGGCTCTGTGCCCGTCCTGCGGCTCTGCCAGGCTCTGTGCCCGTCCTGTCCTGCGGCTCTGCCAGGCTCTGTGCCCGTCCTGCGGCTCTGCCAGGCTCTGTGCCCGTCCTGTCCCGCAGTTCTGCCAGGCTCTGTGCCCGTCATGCAGCTCTGCCCTGCTCCATGCCCATCCCATCCTGCAGCTCTGCTGGGCTCTGTGCCCATCCCATCCTGCAGCTCTGCCAGGCTCTGTGCCCATCCCATCCCATCCTGCAGCTCTGCCAGGCTCTGTGCCCATCCCATCCCATCCCATCCCATCCCATCCTGCAGCTCTGCTGGGGCAGCACAAAGCACTGCAGGGCCCACGCAGTGCAGGTGGGTACATCACGGGCTCACCTTCAGGCGTGCAGGAGAGGGATTTTAGGGAATGCTTATTACACAGGGAACTGCCTGGAATCCTCATTTTTCCTCATAATTCAGGTTTCTGTTTGAAACCGCTCCCACTGCAATTCCAGACAAACTGCTCTTCCCTGCAGGTGCAGCGAGGATCATTCTGCACTCGGCATGGGGAACTCTCACCAAAGCTGGGGCTGTTCTAAGCCAATCCAGAAATGACTCTAATTTTGCTGCACAGATAAAAACTCTGCTGTTATCAGGAGCAAGAAACCTCACGGCACAACCAGCACACACAGATCAATGAAAGAATCTCCTGTTCTAAAGCAGAAGTTTCTGTTCGAAAGAAAAAACCCCAAACAAACAAGAGAAAAAAAAAAAAAAAAGAAAAAGAAAAAACCCAAACTGTGGTTTCTGGGAGAAACCACAAGCTTTCTAACCGTTTCTATTTCGGAGCGAGTGCAGGGTTTATTAAGCACGGGGCTATCAGGACGATGCGCAGTCAGGGAGGAGAGAGTCGCTCCCTCTCGGGGCGCTCCCCGGAGCGCCGGCACAAAGAAGGCAGTATGGGCCGGGCTGCCGGGCAGCTGCGGGGCCCCGGGGCGCACAATCGCCCTCAGTTGTACCAACAAAGCGGCACTATCGCAGGAGCAGGAGCATCGGAACCGATTCCCGGCAGGAATGGCGCGGCTCACCCAGTGGAAGCTCCGGGGAGGGAACGCTCCCTGCTCGCTGTGCCGCAGGAGCTCCCTGCCCTGGATGGGGAAATGATTCAGGACAGGGGGCTACGCCTGGATGTCCCCTTGCTTTAACAAAGGCAGCTCCATTTCCCTACCCCTTTCCACCTTCTTCAGGGAGAACTGCCTCTCAAAACGTTTAGTTTCAGGAAGAACACACTGATGAAAGAGGACACCTTGCCTTGGTTGGCGTCTGTTGAAATCCTAGCAAATACCTTCCCGGAAGAGGTGCTGGTGGAACAGCCTGTTCCCACTAATGCCCGAGGATTTTAAAACCAGTGCCAGCTGTGCCCACCAGCCCCAGCCAGGCCAGTGGATGGTCCCCAGGAAGCAGATTCCCCCCAGGGCAAGTCAAACAGGCACTTACTGAGATTCACTTTCACCCTTGGAGAAGCTGAAGGGCAAAAGAGAAGGCACCAGGCTCCCCGGGTTGTGCCAGGCACGAGTGTTGCTCCCAAAACTCACCAACTCCTCATCATTTCTGTCACAATGTTAATGAACTCATAACGTGGTATAATTAAAAACTGAGAGTGTGTCAGGAGGCACAGCCTCCTCCAGTTAACTTCTCCTAACGCTGTCAAACCTGGTTCATAGCACGTTTCTGAGATATTAATTTAATTCCTCTATTTTATGTCAATCAGAGAACATGATGTTCCCCCCGAGGACGGTGGAACACGCTGGATCAGAATCTGAAATTAAAACACAGGGCACTTGGGGAAAGCCTTGCTTCACCCTGTGGTTTCCCTGCTCCAGCACTGCCTGGCTGCTCACAGCACGGTGATGGAAACAATTTATGGGAAGAAAGGGAATGCATGAGAGCTCCACTGGGAGCAGGTTTATTACAGGATCTCTCAGGGCTCCACAGCCGGGACATGGAGAGCAGAGTGAGTGGGAAGGCTGGGGCAGGAACAGACCAGCAGCTCCTCCTGGGGTGACCCGAGCTCTCCCCTTGGAGGGGGAAAAGCAAAACCAGGGAGAGCCCAGGAGGGCTCTGTTCCCTCCCATTCTCCAGGTGAGATGGAAAGGATCCCCTCCTCTCCACGGGGAGGATTGCAGCCTTCTGGCAGAGGTGTGGTCCCCACTGGCTCCGAGAGAATCCTGCCAGAAGCTTTCCAGGAAGGTGGCACTCTGCAAATCCCAAAGTAGAGAACGTGGTGTTCCCACCTCCTCTTCCTAGGTGTCAGTGCCCTCCTGGAGCATCCACAGGGTGATCCAAACCACAGAGAAAATCTCAGGAGAAAAAAATCCTCAGGTAGTTGATCCACACACAGGTGAGACTTGGGAGCACATCCTGCACCCACCAGAAGCAGGCTTGACAAATTACAGCCTTCCTGCAGCTCCAGCACACCCCTTGCACAGGGAATTCCGAGTTCCAGCCTTCCTGCACACACCTTGCACAGGGAATTCCATGTCCTATTGCCCCTGCAATTGGTGCTGCACAGTCGATGAGCTCCTGGTGAAGCTGCTTTGATCCAGGGGCTGTGCCTGCACTGCCTGGCTCAGAACTAACAGCTGTATTCCACAGGGAGCCCTGGGGAGTGCCCGGGTCCTTCACTCCTCCTCCTCCCCGAGGATCCTTTGGAGAGGGATCCTCTCCAAACTCCAGTCCTGGCACACCAAACTCTTCCGTTTTGCTCTGTGAAACGCCCTGAGCACACCTGCAACCCTGTTAAAC